TCCGGCTCACCTCCGCCAGACTTCAACTTGGCTGCAGCGCCCCTGACACACTGCTGGGCAACGGGTTGAGGGCTCATACTAGCCCCCTGTCCCTCTAACCCTTGCGTATCATCCCCTAGCCTGTCGCTGGCCAGCCCGATAGGTTCCCCTTCCCCCTTCACATCTAGTTTAAAGCCCTGTCAATGAGCCCCGCAAGCTCCTGGGCAAAGACCCTCTTCTCCTTTTGAGAAAGCTGGCTACCATTTGATGCCAGCAAGCCCGGTGCCATGTAGACCATCCCGTGGTCAAAGAACCCAAAGTTGTGGCGGCAGAACCCAAAGTTGAAGAGTGTTGAAGTACAAAGGAATTAGATCATTTATCCAAGGTCCCACACAAACTACAGAACAGCCAGGACGTGACTATAAATAGGTCAAATCCAGAATTTTGGGGTTTTATTTTTGTACTTACAGTTACTTTTACTCTCTAGTACGCTGTCAGTGCACTATCTTTTGCTTTCACTGTTTTTCCCTATATATCTGCAATTAGACACATTTTTCAGTGAGTTGGGGATGGCAGGGAGTGTGGAGGGGTGGGGTGTGTGCACGTCCCTCAGCAAATTCATGACAAGACTTTTAAGAAGACAAAGGAACACCGAGCTGAGATTTGTCCGTCCACTAGACCTTTCAAGAAACAAACATACTGCCGCAGCAAAACATAGATACCATTATGCATTTAAACTCCATACAGTGCATTTTTGCCTCAGAGCTCCATAACAAGTAGGTACGCAGGGCCTTTGGGGGTCACTGCTCTCCCTTGTAGCGGGAGTGATACCATCAGGAAATGTTTCCAGTAGCTCCTTCTCTGTACTGGACTTCTCTGGCTCACCCAGAGTGCATGGGACAGGGCGGACATTTGGCCTGTTCTGTTACAGTCATCATGATGTGAGTAAGCATTTCTGTAGCAAAGGACTGTGGTCATATTTAGGTTACCTGGCGTGGCCTTATCTGCTTTCAGCTTTTTGGCTCTCTCTCTAGCACAAGCAGCTTTCTGCTTCCGAGAAAAATAATTTCATGTTATTATGCCAGTAGCAAATTGTTTGTCAAAATCCTATAATCTGTTTTAGCCTAATATCATGTTTCACTTGCCAAGTGCGTGCTCTTTTCTATTCTTCTAGCTCAGACATCCACATGCTGTCTCTCCTGCATTTCACTCACAACTCGTTCATTCTAGGAG